CATCAGTCTGTTCCATGCTTCTGTGTTTCTGGATCTATTTTGTTCCTCAAACTATCTTGTTTATAAGATTCCACATATGAGTGAGATCATGTAAAACTGAATCAGGAAGAATCAGAAAACAACTGATGAAACTGAGGCAGTAATCAAAAAACTCCCAGTAAACAAAAGCCCTGGTCTGGATGGTTTCACAGGGGAGCTTTCTAATTCTTTAAGTTGTAGGGTTAGATAGTTTATCAAAAAATTTTCTTGCTTTTTGAGGTAGGCCTGCAGTACTATGAACTTCCCTCTTAGGGCTGCTTTTGCTGTGTCCCATAGATTTTGGGTTGTTGTGTGTTCATTTTCATTTGTTTCCAGGAAGATTTTGATTTCTTTCTTGATCTCTTTGGTAACCCATTCATTGTTTAATAATCTGTTATTTAGCCTCCATGCTTTTGAATGTGTTTGAGTGTTTTTTACTGTAATTGATTTCTAATTTCATGCCCATGTAGTCTGAGAAGATTGATATGATTTCAATCTTCTTGAACTTGTAAAGATTGGTTTTGTGTCCTAACATGTGGTCTATCTTTGAGAATGACCCATGTGCACTTGAGAGGGATGTTTATTCTTCAGCTTTGGGGTGAAATGTTCTCTAAATATCAATTAAATCCATCTGATCTAGTGTGCCATTTAGAGTCACTGTTTCTGTGTTGACTTTTTGTCTGGAAGATCTATCAGGTGAAGTCAGGGGGGTGTTAAAGTCCTTGACTATGACTGTGTTCCTGTTGATCTTTCCTTTAAAATCCTAAAGGTTATTATTGATAAGTCCTTATATATTGCCATTTTAATTCTTTTTTAAAAAATATATCTTTATTGATTTCAAAGAGAGGAAAGGAGAGGGAGGGAGAGAGATAGAAGCATCATTGATGAGAGAGTCATTGATCAGCTGCCTCCTGCATGCCCCCGACTGGGGATCGAGCCTGTAATCTGGGCATGTGCTCTGACCAGGAATCGAATCCCCGATCACCTAGATCCTAAGTTGATGCTCAACTGCTGAGCCACACCTAGCCAGGCGCCATTTTAATTCTTTATGCCAATGTTTCTCTCTCTATTTCTTCTTATTATTACAGCAATTCCTTTAATATTTCTTGCAATGCTTCTATTTCTACTTCTAATTACAGCAGACCCTTTAACATTTCCTGTAATGCTGGTTTGGTGGTGATAAATTTCTTTAGCCTTTTTTTTCTTTTTTTTTTTCTGGGAAGCTCTTTATTTTACCATCTATTTTGAATGATAGCCTTGCTGGATAGAGTAGTCTTGGTTTCAGATCCTTGTTTTGCATTACCTTGAATACTACATGCCATTCCCTTCTGGCCTGTAGAGTTTCTGATGAGAAGTCAGCTGAAAACCTTATGGAAGCTCCTTTGTAGGTAATGGATTGCTTTTCTCTAGATGTTTTTAGGATTCTCTCTTTGTCTTGAATCTTTGGCATTTTAATTTTGATGTGTCTGTTTGGGTTCTTCTTGCTTGGGACTCTTTGTGCCTCCTGAACTTGTGTGACTTTTCCTTGACCAGGTTAGGGAAGTTTTCTGCCATTATTTCTTCAAACAGGTTCTCTAAGCCTTCTTTACTTTCTGTCTCTTCTGGCACTCCTATTATGCAAATATTGTTATGTTTTATGTTGTACCACAGTTACCTTAGATGTCTTCCTGATTTTTAAATTATTTTTTCTTTTTGTGTCTCTGATTGATTTTTTTCTACCTTGTCTTCTAATTCACTGATCTGATCCTCAGATTCCTCTATCTAATCTGCAGTTTATTTCTTTCAATGTATTTCTGCTATGTCATTCTTAATTTCCTTCACAGTTTCCATATCTTTTTTCATGCTGTTGAGCATCCTTACAATCAGTATTCTGAACTCTATTTCTGAGAGATTGCTTCTCTCCATTTCACTTAGCTCTTTTTTTGGAGACTTCTCTTGTTCTTTCATTTGGAGCTTGTTTTTCGTCTCCCATTTTAGCTGCTTGTTTGGATTTGTTTCTATGTATTAGGCAGATCTGCTAGGACTCTCAGTCCTTTTGGAGGGTCTCTGGTACAGGCCAATGTCAGATGCAGTTTGTCACTGGTCTTGAGTACCCTGTTTGGAGCTATCAAAAACCCTCAGCTTAAGGTCCCCTCTGCTGGGGCTGGGTATGGTTGGACAGGACCAAGATACACACCAAAGTCTGCTTTTCCAAGGCCCAGGTCCGGAAACAGATCAGGCAAAGACTCAAAGCACTTTGATGTCTGACTCTGTTTGCAGGCTGATTAATCTGATTCTCCCAATGAGCCTCAGGCTGTAGAAACTCCACAGGGTGGGGTAGCTGATTGTTATCAGTCTCTTAATGTGCCTCAGGTTGTAGAAACTCCTCTGAATAGGGCAAGAGGTTTTTCAGCAGGGTGGGGCAATTGCTTCAGCCTCAGGCAAAAGCTGCTCGGAAGGTAAGTGTCTGCCTCTGCAGTATGGAGTAATGACTCAGCACAGGAATCCAGAGGCCTCTGAGCCCTCTGAGCTCTTTCTCCAAAGTCCACAACCCTAGATTCTCCTTACACAGCTTCAGTCCACTCTGCTCTCCCTCTGCTGGAACCCAAGGTGAGTGGCTACACACAAAACTTTTTGTGTTGTCTCTTTAAGAGGGTGCCTTCATTTCCAGCCATCTCTCCCTGGCAGACAGAAACCCAACTGCTTTTTACAGCCAGATGTTATGTGGGCACCTTTCTCAGTTCTGGTACTCTTGGCTGGGAAGCCCAGCCTGGGATTTAGACCCCAGAGTACTCAGTGGGAACCCTCACAGCTGAGATATCTCTTTGGACCTTCATCTTTTGCCTGCGGGAGCCCAGCCAGCCCTTTCTCTTGCACCTCCACACTTCCTACTAATCTGTATGTGGTCTCCACTTTAGGTTCTTGGTTATGAGGATGCTGTCCAGCTCGTCTTCAGCAGCAGTTGATTATTCAGGATGGTTTTTCTTTATTTTAGTTGTAATTCCAGTTTGGTCCCGGGAGAGTGTCAGTGTAGCTTCCACTCAGTCTGCCGTTATCTTTAATCTCTCTTACATACTTCCATTTTAATAGCATTTTGAAAGTCCCTTGGACTGAATTACCAACACTGATGTGTTCATGTTTCCTTTGATCATTGGAGACTAAATGCTCCATTATAAAATGCTAATTTTAAGTCTTCTGTTTTGCTCATAGATTTTGAAAAACTCTCTTAGAATGGGCCCTTAAGCTTAGAAAAAGTAAAACATTAACCATTCTTGATTTTAAAATTTAGAGAATTCACAGAAAAGGGAGTGGCTATAGGTAAATTTGGAGAAAGCTCTACTTCTTCAGGCACCAGAACATTCTTTCATCAGAAGAACATCTTGCTTTTGAAAATATAAGTTAAAGAACAATTCACTAGTCAGTAATGTGGAGGACAGCTTATTTTCACAGAGCAGTTTTATATCAAAGCCTTGCTGATATAGATATAGTTGCTTATAAATGAGAAAGATTTAAGAGAGCAATCAAGTAAATAAGTTTTAAATGATGTGATATAAAGCAAATGTATTTACCATAGTGCCTAACACAAAGTATGTACTCAATAAACAGAAATGTACAGGTGTTCAGTAAAAGTAATAGAAATACATTCTAGGAAGTTGCCTTCTAGGCTAGTTTAAGTTTTTTCATTTAATAGGTGAGCTGATTTTCTAGTCCTAAACAAAATACAACAATAACCACACTCCTTTAGAAAACTCTTTGAGAGCTACCTGGCTAGGAGAGACTCCCCAATTTAGCACACAGAATCCAGATTTAGGCTTTATGCAAATATCATCATTGGGTAACAAAGTAAGTTTTTCATGTTGAGGATTTTGTCATGATTTTTAATTCTATACATGGGACACAAACTTAATAATTATGACCAATTTCTCTGAAGAGTTTCTTTATTCATAGGTAAAAAAATTTCAATATAATACCTGCTTTACTGGGTTATTATTATGATGAATTGAAATGGTATATTTGAATGTACCATACAAATGAAAGGGGTTATTATTAATACCTTAATACTTCTTGCAAATAATTCCTTATTTAAACCATGAAATGGTAAATTTGTCTAGATATAGGGCATTGCTAAGTACCAAATCAAAAAGGATTAACATTGGAATTTATGTTAGAAATTAGATTTTAAGTTAAACATGCATGTTAAAAACTGTAAGATAATCATTAAAAGAGAAACAGTGTATATACTAAACTAAATGGAAGGGAAAAATGGAATGGGGTGGGAAGACATCAATCTAGAAGACAGCAGTAGAGAAAGAAAGAATAAAACCTAGAATCAAAAAATGAGAAAAATGAGGTGAATGGAAGATATAAAGTAAGATGGTAGAATTAAATCCAAACCTATAGGCAATCAAAATGAATGTAAATTGACAAAACTCAGATAAATTTTATGGTATGTAAATTATATTTCAATAAAGCTGTTAATTTTTAAAAAGTTTATTTCCTTGAACTCTAGTCAAGTGTCCTTGTCTTTCATATCAAATGAGCCAATTATATTTCCTACACTCTTATATTGACATTTGGTAGAGCTCTGAAACTTGGTAGTGATGCCTGGCAAGTGTACACTTTTGAAATGGATTCTGCATAAATGTAAGAGGCTTAAGATATCACCTGGGACCACTTTTAAGCAGCTCTTATGGAGTGGGCCTACCACTATGGGTCAAAAAGAATGGACAATTTTTTCCTAAGGCATGAAACATCCATTTAATGCCACACAAGACAGTCAAATCCACCTGATTTAGTCATTTTGTACAACAGTGTAGTCATACTGTAAATACCCACCTGAGGAGTGGGAAGTCCCCGAGACTGCTATGGAAGGTGTGCCAGAAGTGTTTCTGCGATGATTCTTTGTGAAATCCTCAGAGATTCCTTCAATGGCAGCCCAATCCAAAGAATTTTCAAAACCATGCTCCTTCTCACAAAGTAAAATTAAAAAAGAATCATTATATTGACAGTAATTTACTTTAAAATCCTTCCATAGAAATATACTTCAGTATTACCACATTTAAATGTGCATTCTTTAGGAGATAGTTGATATTTGGAGGACGTTCATCAGGAGTCCATCAACTCTAAAACTTACTATCAATAATTACTCTCTAAAATCTATACCAAGAGGTTTGCTAATTAGCAGGAAATGCATTAGAAATAATTTTTCATTCACAAAAATAGGGAGCATTCTACTATATGGTTAGCAAGAAAGATGATACAGGTATCTCCAACTTACATGAACTGTGTATAAGAACCTGGTGAGCTTCATACCCTCAGAGTAGTACCCTCTGAGTAGGCTTAGAACTCTGGTCCTTGGTCTGTCCCCCTCTCAACACCTTCTCTCCTCAACCACCCCTTACCTCCTCCATACCCATTTAACAAGACCATGCCACTTTTCCATTTAGCAGGTTGTATGATCAGAACATGGTTGGTTACATTGTTTTTGGAATGGAACTTTCATGCAAGGTGCTTATCAAAGTTCATGAAAGGATAAAGAATGAAGACTTCCCTAGCTTACAAGAATAGGTGATTTTTGGGTGCCTGCTTGCTAATAAATGTTTGTGTAAGTGGCAAAATTCAGTCTGAGACTTGTTTTCATTGTAACATATAATAAAGGAAAACTCTGTCCCAAATTTCCCTGGGCACTTAGGGTCTTGGCTATTGCATCACTCCAACTTTGCTTGAGCATTAAGAGACTAATTTTGAACTTTTTAGTAACTGGGCTGAGTTTAAATGTCCATGGAAATTATATCACCGTGTGATAATGATCGAATATAAAAGAAACTTTTTAATTCCTCTTTGCATAACAATCAAAAAATTATTTTTAAAGTCCTACTTGTTGCCTTATATTTAACCGACACCTTAGACATTGAGGGAAACTTTGATGAACTCACTCCAGAGAGATGTGGCTCTCACTTGCTTAGTATGCTACTCAATGCAGCTTCAATATAGACTGGTTTTGGTCTTTATTTTCTAACACATATTCCCTGTAGCAGGAATAATATAACTCCTAATTAATTGCCGTAGACCACTAAGTTTTACCATAAGACTGTGACAGAGGTAAAACAGATAAATTAAGTTAGGTCAGCTTTCAACACTGTTTCAAAATATTGTTTAAGGAGTCTCTCCATAAGTAATTGGAACAGCCATTCAGTAATGTACCTGCTGAATATAAGCGGTGTTCCCACCTGGAAGAATTATTTGCCTCAGACTACTGCATGGCTAATTCCTTCACTTCCTTCATGTTTTTGCATAACCAGTCCTGGCATATAGCAGACCCTCATTATATACTGGCTGACTCAAAAAACTGTAGTTTGTATATAAAGTTTGTATACATATGGTTTTCTGTTTAATCAAAAAATCTAGTAGACACTCATTCATTCAAAAGACCAGCTTCCATATTATATATAATATATATTATATACACACATATATTATGCAATTTAAGTTTTCATTATGCATTGACCCCTTATATTAACAGTTGTATAGAAAAGGAAACTAGAAAAGGATTTCAAGATTCTATTTTCCCTGATTTAAATCAGTTTGGAAAAGTTTTAGTGCAGTCAACATCTTGAGAAGTAGCATGGAGGATCAAAATCAACGACTTCTAAAAATTATTTATATATTTTTTCAATTGTATAGCCATTTAAAACTTCATCATATAAATTCCACCTTTGAACCTATTTCTTCCCTTTCCCTATACTGTAGGCTTCCTGCCGGGAGCTAAGGATCTAAGATGTTCAGTCCTGATAAAGAAGCTTCTACCATTAATCATCGTAAGCGACATGCACTGAGATACAGAGAGCTGAAACCCAGTAATGCCACGGTGGTGAGATCAAATTCCAGAAGCCTGGTGTCCGTTCACACTTGTGTACTTACTCTACTGCTGACTGGAGTCAAGCTGCGTGTGCTTGGGGCTGGTGACCTCTGAGTAACTGGGGTCATACCACTGCTCTGGCTGCTCTTCATGGTCCCAGGACCAACTTCCTGGTCATTAAGATCTGATGAACCAGTGCTTCCTCTAAATGAGAAAGAATATTCTGAATTAACATGGAAACAGCAGCAACCAAAGACAAAGTCGAGGAAAAGCTTACAAAAGAATAATGATGACATGTGAACCACATGAAATACACCAGACCCACACCGGAATTGGTCATCAACTATTATGGCACTCCCCCCCTTTAAAAACCTTCAGGGGCTCACTAGATTCAATCCTGTTTGTCTGACTCTAAAGTCTTTGTCATTGAGCTTCACCCTACCCTTCCAACTATATTTCCCACTGCTCACTAGCATTCTCCCAGCCAATCCAGGTTCCTTACTATCCTGTCAACTCACCATGCTCACAGTCATGCTTCCACTTCTAAGGTTTTTGCTCATGTTCTCCCAGCCAGAAATGCCATATATGTCACTCTGTGTTCACACAACTCTTCCCTATCTTTCAAGGCTCATATGAAGTCCAGCCTCCCCCACCAGACCTTTCCTGTAAATCACAGGCCTTGTCAACCTCTGCTCTTCTCAATTCCTATTGACTTACAGTCTTTGCCAAACTATATAGCACTTGACTCTGCAAGACCTTGCTTGGCCCCCTAATTGTTCCATGTATGCGGGCCTGGGTGCCTCTTTCAACTGTGAGCTCCTTGGGGACAGAGTTCAGTATGTATTTACCATAATATCTCTAGCACCTCCATAATGCCTTGGTGCAAAGGAGGCACTCAATACATATTTAATCAAAGGTTGGAAATTATATTTTCTTTCTGTGTTTAGTGACTGACTCATGGTGCACATTTAATAACTGTGGCATGAAAATAATGATATTTGGTAAATGGGCTTGACTCACTTTCATGTTTGCTAAAAGTGATTCAATTCCACTCAATAATGATTAATGAAAAAAACAGTTCCTGCCCTTAGGTGATCACAGATTTTCTCATTAAATGGAGATTCATAAGTAAATATAAGCTTTGACAAATTAGAACTGAAGAGAGTATTTGTTCTTATTTTATTGTTTACCTGCAGTGGGCACAAAATATGCTGTGGTAAAATATAAGCCCTACGTATTTCATTCTTTCAATCACTATTTTAATAATTTATAGGTGAACTTATAATAATGAATATCTTATTGTAAAAGCACAGCAGTAATAGTGATTAGGGCTTATAGTTGAGCTAATCAGAGGAGAGAATTATAAGAATAAAGGAAGAGTGCTTTCTCAAAAAGAATGTCTGACTGTGCATGTGTCATTACCAGAAGATAAATCTGGCAGAAGAAAGAATCAGCAGTGACCATCAGAGCTGTCAAACACAGCTGATAGGTCTTTGCAAGTCTGTGCACCAGAGAAGCCACCAAAATCAAATTTGCCCTGACTGATAATACCAGCTGCTGCCACCCTCAATAATTATGCAAATGGCAGCTGCATTTACTGAGTATTTTCTAAATGTTAGACACTTTCCTTTCACCAACATCCCTGTTTTAAAAGGTATTAATGTTCTTATTTCAAACGTGAAGAAACTAAGTCTTGGAGAGGCTAAACAATTATTCCATGCATGCATGGATGTTCACGCACACGTGCACACACATACACACCACACTGCCACCACCACACTGTCACACAGTTAGTATGTGACAAAGTCAGAATACAAACTGAGAATATTCTGCCTACCCAAAGCCTGTGCTCTTCTAGTTTTTCATATTGCTTACTCATCATTTCACCAAGATCAATGTGTTACAACCAATTAGGCTCTACACTGATAGAGTGAGCTGTCAAGAAGATAATCAAAAGATCAGAGAGCTGGGATTAGTTTCTTGCAATTTTATGAAAATTCTCTGGTGGCATTCCTTTGAGACTACATAAAAACAGTCTCTGGCTCCGTCTTTCTAGAGATGGCACTCTGAATAAGTTATAGTATTATGGACTCTGCTCAGGAGGGGTCTAAGACTGTGTCTTTTGATTCTGACAACAAGAGAATAAAATTTTGTGATTAAATAAATTAATGAATTCTAAGTTCCTTAGTGATTTTTCTGAGCCCTCCTACCTCAGGTGCTACATTTATACATTTGACAACAGTTAACCATATTCATACCATTCCAAATGATTCTACTCATCTCAGAAGTCCCATTTAGAAGGGACTTAGAGACCTACCCAGTAATGCTGTCCTGTGACCACAGGTCTCTACTCTCAGGACAATATTACCTCAAAAATCTCTCTACCTACTGTTTTAGGTAAAATCTCCTTTAAAAAAAGAAAGGCTAGGAGTAAATCTTGCAGAAATGAGCCAAGAAGTTATGACCCAAATGGACGCATGTGGATATTTAAGATTTTGTCTGTATTGAAGTTTCTCCCTTAACCCAACCAGGTTTGGAAAAGTCCTCATTATGGATTAGCCTTACTAGAATCAAAAGACCTACTTATGTAGAAGCCCTGGAACAAGTCGAGTAATTGTGGTATGACATTCAAAAGGCTATCCTGTAATATAGAAAAAAATCTGTGATTGTAATTCAGCTACTGGAAACTGTTGTTGCCAGAAGCATGATCTCAAAAATGACATATACTTTCACATTTGTCCCTGACATTTACTCTGAGCTCCTCAAAATTATTTTCCTCTGATTTGGCAGTTTCAGCTGATTAAACTAAAAATGATTTAATGTAATAGGGCAGAATATCATAAATATTTGGGTGGCAACTCTTTTAGGTGTTATGTAAAATATGACATAAAATACATGAATCTTCACCACTTCAATAGGAAAAGGGTAAAAGTTTCATCAAGTCTAAATTAGAGAAGTTTAAAGTTCAATGAAGAAAGAGCTATTTGCAATTCAGATATTATGTTATTGATATTTAAATTAGAAATATTAGAAATCAGTGCCAACAGACCTTCAAGTTCAAATTTGCTTAAGGAATAACTGGCAAGAAAGAGATGCATTTACTTTGTTCTATTGGGACCCAAATGATGAGGATACGACACTGTCTTGGGAGCTTAGATATTCTGGGTTACTTGAAAGACATTTCCAAGAGCAGGAAAGAGTCTCATTTACTTTAGCTTATGAAATATACTTTAAAAGCCTTTCTTTTTATCTCTAATTTCATGCTGGTCCAAAACCTCGATAATGGCTTCCTAGATATATCCATTTTAAGGAAAAGGATCCAAGGATTGAGGACAGAGACTATAATTTAATGAGTTGTCTTTGTAGTTTACATAACACTTTCCCAGGATTTGTAGCCTGGAAACAATTTTCCAGGATCCAACCTCCCTGGAGTGAGCTGACAATGTTGAACTTGTGCCTGTATAAGTTAAATGAGTGCTCCCCTAATAAAGATCAGCATAAGGCAGCATCAATCTGAGAGTCACTAACACTCACTGGGACAATGAGGCTAGTGAGTAGCGTAACAGAGACTGCATGATATTCTTTCTGCGGCTTATGAGCTTTCTTAACTTCTTTAATTATTTCAGACCTGAAATGAATATGTAAGAAAGACAAGCAAGGGAGGTTGTAGTTAGAAAGTAAGGCAAGCCTGTTATTAAATGGGAAAGAAATGTTAAAAATGAGAAAGAAAAGGGGAAAAAAGTTGAACATAACTCAACTTTCCACTCATTGTTGATCCCCAAATGCTATGTCTTTGTCAAAAGTCTTATGGGAAATGGGTGGCCCTCACCCTTGGATGCACAGCAGAAACACAGGGAGAGATTTTTAAAATCCCCATGCTCAGGCTATATCTGAGACTAATCACATCAGGCTCTCTGGGTGTGGGATCTAGGCATCAACATGTTTTAATCACCACCACCCCGTTCCAATATGCAGCCAAAATTGAGAAACATTGGGCTAAACTGTGGATTAGTTTAAATTCATTGATCTCAGATATCTGACAGCTTGCATTGGCCCTTCCTCTCATACCATTACTTTCTTTATTCAGCACAGTGCTCACATCAAGAGAGCTGAGCTGTCCTTATAACTCAGAAAGTAATAAATGAAAGGACACTTCTTGTATTAGTGAGTGCATGTGTTGCACCAGGGATCAGCAAACCATGGCCATGAATTGAATTGGGTCGACCACCCATTTTTGTAAAGCCCACGAGCTAAGAGTGGTTTTTACAATTTTAACTAGTTGAAAAAAATAAAAAGAAAAATAATATGTTGGGATATGTGAAAAATATGTGAAATTCAAATTTCAGTGCCCCAAAATAAAGTTTTAATTTAATGCAGGGATGCCCATTAACTTATGTATTGTCTATAGCTGCTTTCATGCTCCAGTAGCAGAGTGGGGTATTTGAGAAAGAAACCATATAGGCCACAAAGCCAAAAATATTAGCTCTCTATACCTTTACAAAAAAGGTGTGTTGATCCCTGTGTGCGTGTTCACACACACAGGCAGAAAAACACACAGGTATGGGTCTCTAACTTTAAAAAACCAAACTCTTTGAAGTGGTCAACACATCCCAGAGGAATGAATTTAAGGTATTGAGTGCATATGAATATATGTGTGTGTATGTATGTGTGCGTATGTGTGTTATACTTAGGCACAAGTGAATCATGATAGGAGCTCTTGGATGCAGAATTTGGGAAGTAGAAAAGTGAGGAAGAAGAAGAAATTCATCAGGCAGCTTCTCTAGCTGCAATTTCCTCTGAAGCCGCTGGATTTCTGTGGCTTAATTACACATATTTCCTTTCCTTTTCCTTTTTAGAGAAAGGACAAGATATTACGATGTGGTGGGTGCTTAATGAAATTTTGTTCAATGAGTCTTAGTGTTAATGATATAAAGAACCTCTATAATTTGTTTACTAAAAAAAGGCTGATTTGCTTTTATTTGGTTTAAATATATTTAGGGTTTCCTTAAAGGATCTGTTTATTTAAAATGAGTATCTAAAATGGAAGATATAATCACCATGAAAGAAGGACTCTGACTGTATGAAGAAGAGCTTCACAGACAAGAAAAAGCTAAAGGCATTACTGCAGGAAATGTTAAAGAAACTGGTGTAATAAAAAGTTGATTGAACCTGAAACACCAATCACAAAGAACTTATGCACCCCT